CAAATTATAAATTAATAAATAAGCAAACAAATGAGATTTAAGGGGTTATTCAAAAAAAACACATGCTTAGTGAACAAACGCCAGGTTTCAACTGCTCTCATGTCACAAATAATGGACATTCACAGGTATTGATGGTCACAAAGGATGACCCATTTATCTACCTATTTTAATGTCCATTATTACCTGCGACAATTGAAATTGACAAATTTCATTTATGGCCAGGTTTTAAGTGATTTTACCGCTCTGTGCGCTGGCTGAATCCTATGAGATCAAAAAATGTACTACAGTATTGTACACCTTCAAAAGGTTTATAAAAAAGTCCGTGGTATATGTTTGTCTCTTAGGGATAACCTACAATAACCATTTTTTATCCTCAAAAAATAATGGCTTATTATTTACAAAGCGATTTCAAGTAATACAGCATTAATCCTTATCCAATTAAGTACCTTAAATACATTGTGTATTTAATATAGATCAATATGGCCCTTTACAGCATGTCATTTAAATGAATATTTTTGAAGATATTACAGATTTGAAATTCAACGACATAGCGGTTATGGCGGTACCGGCTGGGGGGTCGGCGGCGCGTGCCTATAAATAGAGCGTCGAAGGCAGCGCTTCGCCCTATTGCATGTGATGATTGGCAGTGATCGCACGCGTTTTATGCATATTTAGTATCAGGATTGCACTCGTGCAGAGCTGGGGCGGGTCGCTAGTATAATATATAACATATATCTAAATACATTAATGTATTTGTACTACATGGACTGAAAAGTCTCGGACTTTTATTGCCTTCACCGCTTTTTCAGTTAGTACTAACCTTCAAAAGAAAGCTGTTGAAATTTCATGATAATCTTCTCAATAGTTTGTGAGTTATTGTACTAAGAGTGACACTACTATTGTTATTTTCCAAACAATGGATCAAAAATAATTTCGTGTTTTAATTTTACACTGCTTCTTGCTGGGAAAAATGCCGTTCAAACGAAGCAATGACTTGAGAAGGACTCCGCTCCATCGGAAACAAAAATTAAACGTTGGTTTGCTGACTTCAAACGTGGTCGTGGAGACACCGATTATGCAGAACGCAGTGGACGTCCAAATGTTAATGTACAATTAAAAAATCCAGTATAATTACATTTACATTTGAACAAAACTAACTTTCTAATCACATCACGTTTGGCTAGGACAAAATATGTTTTGTTTGTGTTTGTATTACGAAAATATGTCAATAACACGTTTAATATGAAGAAGAAGCAGGAGTATATAGGGCGATCAACGGGGGAAATACATAAAACGCGAAAATTAGAGAAGTTTCAGTATGATTTCATTTGGCGAGTTGTTTTTGTCACGAGAATTTTTTGTCCTCTAACTTTTCAGATACCTGACCGCTGATATTTGTGGCTGTGATATTTGTAGTAGAGAAATTAAGAGGGAGTACCCAAAATTAGGTATTTTACAATCCTTATAAATGTATATGTACAGTTGTAGCAAACGAAAGACACTAATACATGTCTTTATTAGTGAATTGATGGAAGACCTACTTAAAATAAATATAAAAAAGCATATCCTAGTTGGAGGCTTCAACAGACACACATTAGACAGTGAAGGAAGTAGAGTACTGGACTATACGTACTGGACTAATGAATGACTATGAATTTGAAACTTTCCCCTACACGGTAGCTTCATCAGTTGGAACAGTCCAACTAATGAAGCTAGGAATAATTTCGGTGTATTCATTGAAAATAGGCTGAAATATGATGAACACCAGAAATAACTCAAAAGTAAGATCTCCTCCGGATGTTATGCAGTTAGAGTTGGGTTTCCATGTCGCAAAGACCGTTTACCCTGCACTTATTGAATCTCGACTACGTTATGGAGTAGCTTTTTGGGGAGCATGCAACTCATCCCTTCTCTCTTCTGTATTGATATTACAGAAGAGGGCACTAAGATGTCTCTGTAAAGTTAAACCCAGAGAATCGTGCAGGAACTTGTTCACTGCCAATAAAATGTTAACAATCATCGCACTTTTTATCTTAGAGACAGTTTGCCTTATTTATAAACATAAATCGAAGTTCAACTTTGCTTCTACTCCTTATGCTACTCGTAATAGCAATTATACCTTTAGACTTCCCATCCCAACTTCGAATTGAATCAAGGATTCCATATACTATAATGGTGATGAGTTGTTCAATCATTTACAGTTAGAAATGAGATCTGCAAATTTAAGAAATACTCATTTTGAAAAGGCGGTGAAGAACCTACTTGTTGATAGACCCTATTATAGTTTGGAAGAATATTTTAGTGAATCCTTTTAACAATATATTATCAATTTATTCTTTGTACTATCACTTTATACATGGTGGTATTTTATCTATACATTTTTAGAACTTTTTTTTATACTTACATTTATACATTTTTGGAACTTTTTTATATCTACATTTATACTTTATTAGTACTTTTTCTATATTAACATTGTATTTCTTGGACTTTGTCAATAATATGTAAATCTTCGGACAATAAAGTATATTTTATTTGACTTACTATTTAGTGTCCATCTTTATACAAAAAACAAAGGAAATCTAATAACTCCTGGAGGAGTTATTAGATTTCCTTTATTTTTTTTGTGTTTGCAGGAACCGAATGTTCGTGTATTATTTTCTTGCACTTTATTGGCCTTAATTCATTTATTGATTTTTTTGGATTCCATTGACTTCTGCACTTTCTACAGTATTCACTTTCAAACAAATATCACAAAAAGTTGAACCAAACACTTGTCACAAAAAAATATGTATTAGAAATTTATCAATTCTGATTCAATATCCTCCTTAGAAGTGTCGGAATAAGACACTTGTCTCATTGCCTCATTAGCATCAATCTAGATAAAACGAAGTACTCAATAAAAAAAAATTGACTTTATGTCACAAATGAGTTGAATCTACTCATGTCATCAATGACAGTATGTAATGACATTCATTCGCTTATTTGTTTTATTCATTTATACAGAAAAAACTCCATTACAATGTAAAAATTTCACAGAAAATAAGTAACAATCTAAATATGTAAAATATAAAATAGCACGCTATGGAATGTTTCTGCAGCACACATCTATATACATCATAAGATACTTAAGGACATAAAATTAAAATTAAAACTTGTTACTACCTTATACCAACTTTAATGATTCAATGATTGTTTAAAACGACCATAAGAGACCCCAAAAACACTGATGTGTTTGTCATCCACTAACTTTGGGGTTCAACCCAGCCATAGAAATCTTGTTAAAATTGAAAGTGGTATATTTTTAGAAGACATTGCTTTTTGGGAAATAAAGGTTTTAGCAAGTGTCTTACTCCGAAACATTGGATGTCTGCCATTGAGGATGACAGTGTTTCATGTAAGTGAAATTTTACCTCTTATACTATGTTGTGTAGTAATCCTGTGAATGATATCTGATTCAATGTTCAGAGTACAAACTGAATAGGAAAAAGTGTTCATATAAAAGTAGTTGTTTAGAAAGTATTTTTTTTATTTCATAAAATTCAATGTTTATATGAAAGTAGTTGTTTCGAGNTACGCATAATCTGTTAATTTGTTCTATTCGATCTTGTGCCCGTTAATGAAGAGTTCCTTCACCCAATATTAAATTTATCTATATTTATTAGAACAAAATTTTACTTCTATATGGTAAATAGTAGGAGAAAATTAATAGGTCATTATCAAAATGTTTTTGTGATTTTTAAGAAGTTACTATATGAAAAATATCTGATTATAACAATAGTGATAGAGACCTCGAAATAATAATAAAAATCAATATAAGAGATGTTATTGGCCATTACTTGATGACAATCCATAATGTGTTAAATAACATATCGCGAGATTTGCTGTTATACAGACGCAGCAATTAGGGTCAGTATCAGGAACAGCAGAAAATGGGTTTGTGCAGTCAATACTCTCTTGTGGCCTAATTTTTTGGGGTTCATCACCAGATCTAAACAATGCTTTCATTCTTCAAGAAAGATTAACAGTGTATGAAGGGAATTCTTCTCCAAGCATCACACAAGCTTTCTTTCATCTCTATATGTCGATAATAGATATTATAAATGAAGAAATATGCTATACAAAGTTAAAACACTCGAAACAGAAATTGTCTTCATTAACCCTACTTCAGACTGACATGGTGTCAAAATATTCATAATTATCAACAAATAAGGTTCTATAATACAATCATAGATATTTTAGGCTGTGTAAAAAACACAAAATCTTCATTATTGGAATATTTCTAAAACAGCATTTTTTTCTACAGAGGAATTCTCAAACCTAGCAATGTTTATATAGTGCAACAGATTTTATACTTGTTACAGTATTTATTCGTGTGTTATATTTTTCATGTTCGTGTATTTCAAACAATTATTCTTTACTAGTTCAACAAACTCTGGTATATATTTTCATATTTGTACTGTACTTAACCATGATAAATACTTTACTTTTGTCTTTTCTTGAATATTAGTAAAAATAATGGAGCAAGTGAATGTCACTTGCTTTATTATTCATTCAATTCAAGTTAAATAACCAAACTTTATATTGAGAAAAACTAAAATTAACTCACCTCTTTGACACTGTTGAAAACTGGTAAATCGAGATGAGTTTTACCCCCTTTTCCAGGTGAGACGCCTCCAACCATCTTCGTTCCATATTCTATGGCCTGTTTGCTATGAAATGTTCCTTGTTTTCCAGTGAAGCCTTGGCAAATAACTTTCGTTTGGGCAGTGAGTTTTAGATTTTTTCTTGTCGCTTCATAACTGTTGAATCTTATTGATTGGCTGACTTTAAATCCGTCAGCTACAAAAAAAAATGAATAAAATCAGTCTTTATGCTCTCTTCATATATTCAGAGTTTAATATTCCTGAAAGGAATGCAACAGCCGGGTTTAATTAACAATTAAATGATCAAGGTCTGTGCCATGTCTATTTAAAACAAAGTATTGGACATTATATAAGTACTTACTGAACAAACGGCTCAATATCCTTGTGGGTGCAGCCATTTTTATGAATAATATTGGTATACTTTATAGAAATATCGTTCTCTTTATCAAAGACTCATTTATCTTATGATTTATTCAATGCGCCGACTTCAGATATCTACAAAAGCTCACCTCACAGTTGACACCATTCGTTCACAAATAGATTGGGCAGGACTCGAGAAATAGCTATTTTGACCTTTAAACTCAAAATCTCATGTACGCATAATCTGTTAATTTGTTCTATTCGATCTTGTGCCCGTTAATGAAGAGTTCCTTCACCCAATATTAAATTTATCTATATTTATTAGAACAAAATTTTACTTCTATATGGTAATCAATTTAATTTGTTCCAGTTTAAAACCAAAACCACAGAAGTTCGGATATTCTGTGCCAAAACTATACTCGACGTTCGACAACCCACATTACATTTTCAATGATGAACGTGGTCCATTATCAAGGACACAGATAACATACATAAAACACTGCAAAAGGGTCATAGATATATGCAACTTTTTTTTGGCATTCGTAACTGAAATAACACGTTTTTCTCACAAATAATGTTTTTTTGAACATGTACGAACATTATTCGTGAACAAAAGGTGTTATGTTCAAGTGATCACGCTGTCAAGAAGGAAGCCGGTGTGATAAAAAATGTGTTTAGTTCATTCAAATCCGATAATTGCATTTATTTTAAATCTCCGAAACATAATTGTAGGAGATCTGGAGAGAGTGTTCATATAAAAAAGCTGCCATGCTTACGGCTTATCTAAGGAAATAAGTACTCCGATAATCTATTTATGAATGAAAAGTAATGAAAGTAAAAAGTTTCATTATGGATGATTCATTATTGGCTTTGTTTGATAAGTAAAATTTGGAATCTTTGGAACCACTTTTCCATCACCTCTGGTGAGGAAAGTGTTTTCAATAGATTGCTTTTAACACAGGCATACATCAATCATATATACAATAAAATGTTTGCCTGACTCTAAACATATTTCAATATTTGACAGATGTAACAAACAAATAAAATAATTTTACACCAAAATACGGCTCCAATAATTTTTACAGAATTATCAACTATATTATGTCAGACAGGTGCTAGTATATGAATGATTAGTTCTCCTCATTAAAATTCACAGTACCTATGCTGTCTGATCTATATACTGAAAAAATCGCACATTGGAAAGTTAAACATCGTTGATTTTTAGCTTGCACAAATTCAACTTTTGAGGGTGATATTTCGTATGGAAACGACAGTTGGTTAACGAAAAATCAAGTTCAACCCAACAAAACTAATACGTACTGCGATTCTGTGAATTGTTCACGAAAAATCCCACGAAAACTTTTCAATGATCTCTGTAATTGTATTCATGATGATTACTTCATCGAATCATCTAGAGGATTTATTTGTAACTAAAGCGATTCGTATTTTTCACAAAACTCGCGCCTATTAGAAATGGACAGAAAACTCGTTATAACAGTATGTTCCATTCAATATCATAAAGCCGCATGATCAAGACCATGCTCATGCCACTCCCCAATAGTCAGAGGTTCGAAGCTGGGTTTCGTCGATTGATTGATGATTTGAAAAAATTCAAAAGCCATATGTGTATACCAGAAACTGCTATTAATGAGTAGAGAAAAATGTTTACTGTTCTGGGAATCATACTTAAAAGTTAAGACCTCATTAATGGGGTTTATCGTTTGTGAAAGAGCGATAACTGAGTAATGAAAACACACACACACTCGCAATTGAAAACAAATGCTTTCTATTTTTGTACAATGAATATTATCCATAGTATGTATTTGACATTTCACATTCATTTCGAATAAGAATTCTTGATTTACAGATTTCTCTGGACGATTTGAAGTTGAAATTGCTTTGCATTTTATTTTTTGTGGCATATGTACGTTTTATTTATTCTAGATAATATGGAGCTAGCTTCATTTGACAAATCAGATTATCAGATTGGTTTCACTATGCGAAATAAAATCCTTTCCTCAATTTGTTTTATTATGTGATAACTTTATTGAATTCAATTGATTTTTGCACAGGCTTTTATTGAAAATTTCAATTACCATACAGAGTTGTACTATTTGTTCCTGTGTACTTCTGTGTAGAAATAAGTATATTTAGACATATTTTGCTTTCTTCCTTCCTTTGGAAGATTCCCACATTTTTTGTATGAAGATGGATAAGTATAATGCCAAAACCTTTCCCAAAAATAAATCTCTCCTAAAACTATGCTTTTTATTTCAAGTGGAACAAGATTCCTGAGGCTTGGATTGAATCAAAAAAGTGTATAAATGTCATTAAGTCATTACGTAGTGTCATCGATGATGATTTAAGTCATTCGTGACATTAAGTCGTAATTTTTTTAGTGAATTGAGTGTTTCATTTTGTATTTTCATCCAGATTGGTGCTGAAGAGGCAACAAGACAAGTGGATTCCGAAACATCGGATGCCCGCCATTAAGGATGACAGTGTTCCATGTAAGTGAAATTTTACCTCTTTCATATACTATGTGTAGGTTATAATATATAGGAATATTGTAAGTTAATGAGTGAAAAGGCATGTCCTACAAAAAGATATACAAATCCTAACCGCTCACTGAGCTGTTCACTATTTTGTCACCGGCACTTCATAACAAAAATATCGTTTCATTAACGATACTCGGTAACGAACATACTTCTGCTCAGCGGTACCAAAACAGCTTGCAAGGAAACCTCATTGAACATTGAAAAAATAATAAACAATGCTTGCGTCCAGTACCTTTAATGCTCATGCATTTAAAGCCGGTCTACACCGCTGAATGTGGTAGCCGTTAATTAATGATGACTATAGCGCCTTTTTCTTAGCTGAATGATTACGTCGCATAAAGACTCTTGACAGTTGCGATTTTGAAAACTAACATATTTAGAAGAATTTTTCGATGAGTCCAACGATGGAACCGATGGATCCAATAGAATAATCTATTAGTTTATTTGAAACACTAGCGTGTTGCTATTAATTGAATCAATCTATCAAATATATTTCGTTGTATTTGAAAACTTGTCTTTGTTAGGAAAGAATATGATGGGTGCGTCTAGGACAGAAAAGCGAATAGTGCTGTGCTAAGTGCAGCGTAAATGCACTGTTTCAATCAACTTGACGCTATAAAATTTTAAATTTCACGAAATAATATTTTTTACTGTTGATTGTGATTTCATTATACTTATTGTTTCCTAACAATATGAATGTTTTCAAATTGCATTGCAGAGGAATTTATATAGACAAAATCAGAACTGTTAGCTACCATAGTATACAGGGCAATCGTCCAGCGACAAAATAGTACTTTCATTTTATCCAGCGTAAAGCAGTAAAGCTTTACGCTGGATAAAATGAAGCTGGAAGACGCAATCTGCTGGAAGCTGCTAGACGCAATCTGTAAACAAAAACAAGAAACGTCAACAGAAAATTTTACACTGACACTACAGGATAACAGGTTACCGTAACAAATTCTTATGAAAACAATTTATCAAATTCGGAGAATGCATAATTTGACGTTTCTTATCATTTGATGAGATTTTGAGTCACCTATCAAATGAGGACGTGTATTTCTGATCGGGTTATTGAATAACAGGATCAAATTATAATAAAAACTGGTAATTATTATCCTTTCAAAACATGTTGTAAATGTTGAATGCAGATATGTAAATGTTTTTGCAGATATGTAAATTCGAGATGATGAAATATGTTTACTTTTTATAGAAATGGGGGAAGAAGGAAAACGAGCCCTGATTTTGGTTGGAGGATATGGTACAAGACTGAGACCCTTGACATTAAGTCGACCTAAACCTCTTGTAGAATTTGCTAACAAACCAATCCTTCTTCACCAGATTGAAGCATTGGTAGAAGCTGGTGTAACCGAAGTAATTCTTGCTGTGTCCTACAGGGCCGAACAGATGGAACAGGAGCTGACGGCAGAGGCAGCTAAACTTGGAATAACTGTAGTGTTCTCCCATGAGACTGAACCATTGGGAACAGCAGGACCCATAGCTTTAGCTAGAGAACACCTCTCAAAAAGCACAAAGCCATTTTTTGTGCTCAATTCTGATGTCATTTGTGATTTTCCTTTTAGAGATTTGGCTCGTTTCCACGAGGCACATGGAAAAGAGGGTACAATTGTTGTGACAAAGGTAGAAGAGCCTTCAAAATATGGAGTGGTTGTATACGGTAAGGACAACTGTATACAAAGTTTCGTAGAAAAACCACAAGAGTTCATTTCTAATAAAATCAATGCTGGCCTTTACGTTCTCAATCCCAGCGTAATAGATCGGATCGAGCTGCGACCTACTTCTATAGAAAAAGAGGTTTTTCCTGGCATGGCAGCTGATAAGCAGTTGTTTGCTTTTGACCTACAGGGCTTTTGGATGGATGTGGGACAGCCCAAGGATTTTCTCACTGGAATGTGCTTGTATTTGAAGCATTTGAGATCCACCAATGGAAGCAAATTATATAAAGGGCCAGGTGTTGTTGGAAATGTTCTAGTGGATCCATCTGCCAAAATTGGAAATGACTGTCAGATAGGTCCAAATGTAACTATTGGGCCTGGAGTTGTTGTAGAAGATGGTATGTACATTTATTCATTCATTTTATTGTTCATGAAAAGCACCGATACAGTTCTTACAAAATATGAACAGATAGATTGTTATCGGTTTTCTAGATTTACAATTTTTAAAGAATCAATATACAATTCTAAAAAAAGGACTTGCCCAATACATATTGAAATGGTTTGATATTGAAAATAACACATGTCAAATTACTTAAACTGTTCTCTATTCAGTTTGTATTCCAAACATTCGTTATTGAATTTAATCTGGTATTATTTGCTACAATGCATTTTTCGATTTATGAAAAAATTATAAAATATTTCCTTAGGAGGTCTATGTAGCTATCCTATAAATGATATCTGATTCAATTCCATGCCGAATGTTTGGAATGAAAACTGAATGGAGAAAAGTGTTTTTTGTATACAAGTGATTCAGTGTTCGTATAAAAGTAGTTATTTTGAAAGTATTTTTCTTAATTCAATGTTTATATCAAAGTAGTTGTTTTCAGAGGGTTTTTTCTTCCAGTGTGTGTCTTAAATTACTTCTTTGCAGGATCTATAAATATTTGTATAGAGTTTATTTTCTGAAATTGATTTCTTTCTTCCTTTTTTTGGAAGATTCCCACATTTTTCGTTTGAAAATGGAGAAGTAGAAAGCCGAAACCTTTCTTTCGCAGGTTTAATATTTTTAATATTACAGTCCTACAGCCTACCAAATTCAGTTTATCATCTGTAATATTTCAGCTACATGATTATTCAGTATTACCTGAGATCCTTAGCAATAATGACAAGAAAATCACTGCTGACTGTGTATCGATTAACACACTGAATAAACTTTTTTTTCTTCAGGTGTGTGTATAAAGAGAAGCACAATACTCCGAGACGCAACAATTCGATCAAATTCCTGGCTAGAGAGTTGCATTGTAGGATGGAACTGTTCGGTAGGTCGCTGGGTTCGAATGGAAGGCACTACCGTTCTTGGAGAAGATGTCATCGTCAAAGATGAGACTTACATAAATGGAGGGCAAGTATTGCCTCATAAAAATATTACTACATCTGTTCCTGAGCCACAAATCATAATGTAGATCTCTAATGCACTTTGTCATAGGTGCCATCAGAATATACTTTCCATAACTTACTTTTTGATTAACTTTGCTCAATCGGGACATTTTGTTTTATAATTGTTTTGTGCGAACAATCCATATTTGTTATTATTCAAATCTAGCAATGCTAGTTCATCTCATATTCTAAAGTTTCGGTTACAACTAATTGTTGAAATGAAATTCAATGTAAATATGGTCTTTTATAATAATGCAATATTTATAAATTCATCTGTTTTGTTTGAACCAAAAACAGTAATGTCAAGTTTGTTGTTAATGCCTAGAAATTTACATAATACTATCATGAATATTATTTATTGGACTTGGAAAAAAATTGGGGTACATATTCCCAGGGTATTTTCTAGTGAATTAGATATTTTCAGTTATATGTCATAATGTAGAATAAAATGTATTTTTTTTTTATTTATACTTTCCAAATGAGTAAATTACTATTGTTCAAGTGTATGGCTTGTTATTAAAGTTTTATAATTTGTCATCGTGTTTTTGTCTTTTTCAACTTGTTTATCATTCATTAGTCAGAGATATGAGTGAAATAAAATCACGTTACATAGCACTTGTGAATTCTTTTTGAATTCCTGAGCTTGCAATGTGTAAAATTAGCTGCAAAATTTATCATGTGAATTTTTTTATACAGTACCAGATGGTGATATGACTTTTTTTTTAGAATCATTGCATACTGAGTACAGCTGAGAAAATTGTGATATGATTCATGGAACTTAGCACGGGATGTCTAGTAAATGTTACTAGCTCCAAATTATCAATCAATCATATACTTTCTCATAAAGAATGTTTAACATCTTGTAGACAAAGTAAATAAAGTAGATATTAGAATATATCACCCACGGTGCATCATAGTAAAATACATTACAGAAGATTTTCATTGCTAAATAATGAAAATACAAAGCAAATTTAAGAACATGAACACTAACAAATAAAATATGCTTGGTCACAATATCACATAAAAACTTAAAAAATGCAATTCAAAATTATCAGTGAAAAATTCTTTTAACCTATAGTACGGTCGGTTATATAGTTATTTGTTTAGTTTTTTTTAAATGTTCATTATTGCTGATATTTTTAATGATTCGGCAGGTGACTATACATTTTTCTCCAGTGTAAATTATAGAAAACTGTACTAGAGAGGAAGTAGGCATAGGTAATTTCAATTCTGTTGAAGCTGGGTTAGCAGGACTGGGCAGTGTTCAATGTATCCAAATGTTTCTTAATAATAAAAATGGCAATTACGGTGTGGATTTTGAGGGTTATAAATAATGGTTTACAAGAATCACGAGGCTTTGCGTTTTTGCAAGCTTTGCTGCACTTTTTTGAAATACTGATGTACTCTGTGATAGGGTTTTAGTGCATGTTCCCCAAAATGTCATACCTCAAATGTGATTCCAAAAGTGAATAGTAAACTGTTTTAGCTACAGATAGCCCAAGTTCCTTTCTGACTAATCTCACTGTGTAACAACCTGAAGTTAATTTCTTATTCAGGCTTTTAATGTTTTTTTCAAACCTTAACTTGTTATCTGAACAGACTCCTAAAAACTTGTGTCGGTACGGCACTCGATGGAGCCACTCGCCAGACTCAAAATGAAAAGTTCACATCTAAAGGGTATCAAATCAGTTTTTTTGATATTCAGTGTCAAACGGTTTGAATCACACCAACTTTTTACTACTTTAATATCATTCAAGATTGTTTCTTCAGGCATACTTACATTGTTGCTTTTTCATAAAATAGTGTCACCTTCAAAAACTGTGATATATTGATTTTCAAAAGGGCGTTTATAAACAGTAAATATAACGTGGGCCCTACTTTGGATCTTTGCGGAAATCAGACGGCTCCCAGGAAGTGATAAAAAAATAAATATGTTCTCAGATTACAAAATGAGACGGACTTATTTTAGTTTGGAAAATTGTCATTTCTCATAGCACTAAAAAGTCTCCAATCAGCAACAGAAAATCGTGGAGAAACAATGATGAAAAGATAATTTTCAATAGATAATTTCAATAATGAACTTAATATCATCAAGTAAATTGCGGTTAACAATGGGTTTAAAGCCGAACTAATAAACAAAATACTTGCCAAGAAAGTCTACGCAAAAGCGATTCGACACGTTTTTCCTATTGATAAGGTAGATCAAAATTATAGAACTTTAACGTATTTTGGACAACCAACGGAAAAAGTGGCTTCATTTTTGAGGAAACGAGATATTGAAATTGCATGTAGAACAAGTAATACGTTGGGAAAGTTAGTTAAAAATAATATAGACAAAACATCCAAATTCGAGAAAGCAGGAGTATATAAATAAAAGTGTGGAACGTGCCCTAAGGTATATATTGGTCAAACTGGCAGAACATTTAGGAATCGAATCCAGGAACATCATACGAGCTATGTAAATAAGAAAACAAATTCAACATATTCAAATCATCTTCTAGAAGAAAATCACATCTTTAATGAAGAGTTCGAAATTTTGCACATTGAAAATAAAGGTTTGAAACTGAGTCATTTGGAAGCAATGGAAATTAATAAACTTAAAAATTCAAACATTCTAATGAATGACCAACTAGATTTGAATAGATCACCATTATTGAACTTGTTTTCTTAAAAACCGAGAAAGATTTATTATTGATGTAGATTTGAGGTAATATGCTTGAGGTGATCATAATTGAACAGGTACCTTAGGAAGAGTTTTAGGTAATTTTTTGGAGGTATTATCAATTATGGTTACCTGAGTATATAAATATTAATGTAAGAACAAGTTGAAGTATTCAAATCACTTGAGAAAGCTACTGTGCTAGCGAAACGTGATGTGATATATTTTTCAAATGAAGTTTGTGGAGATCAAATCGTGAGGTGTAGCTTTTGAAATTAGTATGGATCTTTATCAAGTAACGGCTGAATCAATCAGAAGAAAAAAGATAACTTTGTTTTATGGACGCGCCTTTTTCTCCGTAAACGCACCCCTTGCACCTCCACGGGGGAGCCCCAGTTGGAATATTCGAAAATCCTCTCTTAGTGCGCATCTTAGACCTAAGAAGCACCTATATCCCAAATTTCAACTTCCTATGACTTACTAGTACGAAGAAACAGAGATGAATGAGTGAGTCTCTTTCGCATTATAAGTAAGGTACTTATTAATTTTTTTTAAATAAGTGAAAAAAAATTACATATTCTGTGTTTAAATTCATAATTCAAAAAGTACTCATAGCAAAATGCTATGTTATTTTTTTTTAGTATTACATCGATGGTAAAAAACTTCATCACTTTCTCTACCCTACATGTGGAATCTAATGCAAGGCGCACCGACACAATGCGACAGGAGCACAAAACAGCCACCTGTTTTGTGGACAGGAGACAGGACGGCACATGACGGGAACATGCCGGGACGGAACATGACTAAGTTTCATTTCTCTTTCTATGGGGAGGGCACGTCCTGTTTCCGTCCTGACATGTGATTGTCCATTGCCTGCTTTATGCGCGCCCCGCCTAAGTTGCACTCTTGCCCACTACCAAATTGCAACCGATAACCAGATTTCTGCACTAATTTGAAATAATATTTTCAGACACTAATTATTACATTTGATTACAAATGTCATGTAAAGAAAAAGGCCATCTATAATCTTATACGATGCCAACGTCACAGTAGAAAGCTAAAACTGTCTAAATTGATGTAGCAATGGTTAATGTCATAAACCGATTCGCTAGATCAAAGAACTGAACAGTTCAGTTTACATTGTAGCGTGAGTGTATATAAACACAGTTATAACTTTTGAGTCTTTTTTTATGACATACAATTGACACAATTTACGCTATATTTACGCTAAGTACAGAAATTGATTTTATTTTGAACTCTCATCATGTTCATTAAACAGCTCAATTTTCATTCTCTTGTAGCAAAAATTTTATCTCAAGTTCGCCCCTACCTCAATAAATTCCTAGATCCGCTCTTGTAGCGTAGAATTGTTTAAAGGATATTCACCGTTATCATAATAATGACTTAAAATAGATCAGGATATTCGAATGGTCCTTAGACAACTTGTCTAATGAATGGTCACTATTTGTTTTGAAGGACATAAAATAGCTATTTGTTTGATGTTATTTTAAAACTATTGATGACAATAAAACTTCAGCCAACGCACTGAATTGCCTGCCCGCTCGATCGGGCTTATATTCAAATGCACCTAAGATATGTTTCCTTGAGTTCTATGGATGAACCAGATAAACTTGTTCTCGACCTGTCTTTTGACGCGTAGATTAGAGCTAACCGACAGGCGACAGACATTTCGTCATTATGGATGAATTTTCACCGATGATGGCGCTACTCAAACGATAAACAGCTGATCGGAGTCACTTAATGGTTTGGGGTTTGTTGTGTTGTTTAATTGTCAATTTGTGAGAGTAATATTTTTTTGTGCAATTATTATAGATGAAAGGTGAAATAAATCAATTTTGCTAACGGGAAGCAGAAGAAACTACAAAGATTTGTCAAAAAAAGGCTGACAGAAGTTTGTTTTCATTTTACCATCTGACTTAGTTCTAATATTCTCGATAGACGTCGTGTCTTGACAATGAACTTCCATATCGACATCAAAATATAAGATACGTATACGTCATTTTGGTTATCCTTGGGAAAGTGCTGTGTTGAAGTAAGCACGGCTTCTGTAAATTTATTTTTATTTGTGGCGTATCTCCCCAATATCCAAAATGTGTCTATAGCACCAAGTAATCGACACGTGAGTCAATTTGAAAACTATTTGGTGTCCGATGGTGCAATTATTCTGTAAAATTACATAACCTAATTGTCATTTTAATTGTCTTAATTTTATATGTTGACAGTGAAAGTACAAGATGCTGAACTTATCCTTCTCCAGTCTAAAAAGTCTGATGAGCTGACTACAACAACAACAATGATGAATCACTCACCGTCGAAAAAACCCAGGCTCTCTTTCCTTAGTCATTTCAAATATGAACATCTTCTGGCAGGAATATCAGGGGGAGCTATATCCACGTTGATTTTGCACCCTTTAGACTTGATGAAAATTAGGTTCGCAGGTAAGGCAATTGTTTGGATATTTTCATATAGAAAAAGAGACCAAGAAATTTTTTTTTACATTGCCAATGATTGTTATTTTGATTGGAGTTTCATCATTCACTGCAGATATTGTATCTAACATTGAATTTTCTTGATCGATACCACTAGTATGTAATGACTGCATCGTCTTTGTATTCTTCAACAATGATGCCCCTAATGTCAATGATAATTTATTAGTCTAAGTGACGGTTATGGTAATTTTTGTCATCAAACAATTTGACTGTGCTGAGATTTTGATTTTAACCAACTGAATAATGTTCAAACAAAAGAAAATCCTGTTTCCAAAATTTCAGTTAATTCTGGGCAAGTAAAAAGTGTTTTGTACTTTAAGTACTATCGCTAGCTTCTTTTATTTTGATCATTGACATTCTATGGAGTTTATTTTGTTTTGTCAACAGTTATGTGTAATGTAATATTAATTATTTTTCACAAGAAGAAATTGTGATGAAATACTGATTTTGAATGTGGTGTTGCTAAGAGAATCTGTAATTATTAGTGTTGCAAAATTTGTTTTTCATCAACATTCAAAATAATTATATAAATGTTTAGCAATATGTATTTTTCTAAATACATTTTCTTAGTACAACCTTTCAGGATTAGACCTTGTTCTTATTTGCTTGAATTTGATACATTTCTTGCATCATAATTATATTTAATGTGTCTACCTGAAAATTACTTGATATGCAAACTGATTTGAATATATAGGTTACCTGAAGTTGAATGACTTGGTTTAACCTGTAACATTTATTAAATTATCTGTGAAATTAAAACCCACAAATTTCTTTTTGATAGTATCCTTGTTTTTTGTTCATTTCATAATTTTGGTAACAATTGAAAATGGAATTAAAACTAGGTGGTGCTAATATAAATTATACCCATTTATGTAAATATGCCTATGACTTTGAATAGGTTTACCCCGATAAGTTGGTACGTTCATTTCACAAAGAAAAATATTATTTTTATTAGTAACTTGTCATATTCCATAATTTCGTCTATCAAAAAAAAAATAGATAATAAATTATAAGTGAGTAAGTTTATTCAAAATACAGTATTTTCACATGAAAAACCTTATTGGACTAGTCAATACAAAAAAACAAAAGGTTTAAATTCATAGTTTAAACCGAATGTAACACTGAACCATGACATCATAATATACAGTATACATAAACAAGAAAATATTTAAGTTATGTTGAAAAAATTAAAATATGAGATTAATTACTAATATAAAGAAACACAAACACAAATCATATACACACACACACTTATCTTAACGTTTCGTAAGCTAAAATCAGCTTCAGTCTTCAGAATTGAAAAAATATAAGGATACTAGCAGATTTTTTTCGCTGATTCTCTTTATTCCTAAACTTCCTTGGCAGATGTTAAAGTAGTTTTGGAATTAGTAATATGTCAACTCAAAGAATCAGTGTATATTCGTATATCTGGAGAGAAGTGTATTTCAAACAGATCCTTAGAAATGGATCGTACCCGTCTTGAAGAAAAACATTGATATTGGCCAAGTACCAACTGACTTATATTAGAGAACACTTTTGACTACATTGAATGTTTCAGAATTTGATCAACAACATTTAACATTTTGAAACTCCTCGACGTTTAGAAATAAAGTGAATCAGCGAAAAAAAACTGCTAACATTTAAGGTTTTTTTCCATTTTGAAGGCAAAATTATTGAACATGACAAGTTACTGATGAAGAGAACATTTTTCTTTGTTAAAAATACTTGAAGTATGCAGTAACTTATCGAGATGAACTAAAAAGTTTGCCTTTTTGCATGTGTATTAAGTTCTCCATTACAATTTTCATGTTTTTCAGATTGTGGAAGATGAAAATACCCAAAGAAAGACAATAAAAGAACTTTGATATCCTTCATAAAAATTGACTTTCGTTCAGTACAAATTAGTTATTGATATATTCTTAATTTATCCCAATCCATGCCGTTTGACCTTGAATCTAATTGTGATTCCATTTTCTTTGTTGTGGGTTGAATAAAACAAGAAGTCAGGTATGATATTTATTCATTGGTTATAGTGTACTTCAAAAGTTTTATTTCACATGAAATGTATACCAATATTTTTTCCCTTTTACAATTTTTGCTAATTGAATTCTATGTTTTGAATAATGATGATGAATTGCTTGTTGTCCAACACAATTCAGCCATTTATGGGATATAAAGTAAAAGATCAGTACAGTGAATTAATGAAATGGTAACAGTAATAATGATTGCTTTTATTGAAGTCATCAATATCACTTCTGATCTTGTTGTGCTATAGTAAAATGTGAGGTTTTGATTCGGTGAAATTAAGATATCTAAAATTTGGTTGCAATGAAAGCACACCCTAGTACCTAGATTCCTAAATGGTGGTCTGCTGATCCCTGGGGTTCTGTGCATTCGGTCGCAGTACTAAATACTCTGCAATTGTTGATGAAGTTATCTTGGTTCTGCTTCCATTTGTGACAATTTACATGGGAGTCTGAATTTTCAGCATACGCTTACATAAAAAAGGAATACAGAAATAGACTGGATGCATCTTTGGTTCTTCGCATCCAACTGTCGGACATAAAACCTAATTTTAGTACTATTATAAGAATATATGTTGAAAAATTCCGTTCTTTGTTGAAAGGTAAGACCTCGTTAGTTCTTAGCTCGCACAAGTTTAGACTTCTGAAGGTTGTCGTTCGTAGGGGTGCGACAGCTGGTTAAAGGAAAAACATATTTTAAACAGAAAGTTGTTTACGCACCATTTCTGAACATTTTTCAAGTCCCTTTGAAATTGTTCGCATTCCCCACACATCAAAAAATTTTCAATTCGTCACAAAACGGAGGTGTTTTTAGTTAACAAAGCTTTATGTCATATGAAGGTTTCATATAGCAGCTGAGCCACATTGAAGTCAATCGACTCTCAGGCATACTGCTGATTGGGTTGGATCTTTCCTGCACTGATGAGTGATGATATACCCAAACCTGTCTGTAAGTGATTTACTTGATTGATTTCATTGAGGTCCTGCTGCTGGACAAACGAAAAACATCTGCATGAATTTCCTCAGAGAGAAAACTTTCATAAATGTTTGTCAGATATAGATAATTCAATGTCCATCGTGGTATTATTCGGGAAAGTAGTTGTTTGCCGTCAGGCATTTTCCAGATCCTCAGATGGGTGGAAGTTTTCAAACTTCATTTCGAAATATTTTTTTTTTATTGATGTATTGTTGTTTGACAAAGTGTTTTTTTTTAGTTAGTGACGGTAGAACTACCATACCTCAGTACAGTAGCTTGACCAGTGCATTTTATGGTGTAGTTAGGCAGGAAGGTGTCAAAGGACTGTATAGAGGTGTTGCACCAAATGTATGGGGATCCGGAAGCGCATGGGGGTTTTACTTTCTTTTGTAAGTTTTTTTCAAATCATCAATTCCAATAAATATTATATTTCCTCTCCACTGATTGATCGATGAATATAATACTGTGAAAAAGTACCAATTTATGTTCTGAAGTATTTACATTTAGTTTTTTTTACTAGTTTCAAGTGAATGATGCAAGTCATTAGCTATATCAAATTTGTTGACGTTTGAACATCACATTGTATAAAAAACTCAAAACTTCCATCAATTAACAGAGTTATCTGGATTGTCAAATAAAATTGATCAAATGCTTTTTTCATTTTCTTCTTGAGATAGTGTTGCATTCAGAAGTTGAAATTTTACTATTTCACATGCAATACAACAAATGAAACAACAAAAAAGAACCGTCTGAATAAAATTTTTGATCTTTTATATTTTTCGATCTTAAATGCTAGATATTTTGATACACTATGAAAATCTGTGATAATTAATTAAAAGGGCTTTTAATTTTGAAATAATATTTTTATGTTTTCTACATATTTTATTTCTTGTATATTTACGTAATGGTAGATCAAATTCTTACATGNTAAACTCAAAAAAAACAAGCTTTCCCATGATAAGGAAAATTGAAACTTACCAAGCGGGATATCTTATTATTAATATAAAGGGCTATGGTTTTCACAGGATCTTTTTTTCATCATTTCCATCAATATTTTCGATATATTAAAGAAAAAAAAACAGTTGATCTTTTTGAATCAGTCTAATGAAATATACACTATGATGAAGCCAGCCACTCGTGCTGGTGAAACTTTAGGATACAATTTCAAACCACGACGGCCTTCAAAACCGAATGAAGATCGTAACACTGAAAATCTTGCCGGCGAAAGCCTCTACACTACCCGTGAAGCTACATTGACAAAATTGCTCGCAGTTTGTTTTACGTATCAAATCGAATCAAACAACTCAGCATTATTCTCCTTACCCAACTTCGCAAGTAATGTAGAGGAACTTAAGGACTGAATATCATTGTTAAATTGTTGAATTTCAGAGGAATTGTGCTTTTTAAAGTAGAAGTTCAGAAACAAAAAATAGAATTGACAGTTTCTACTTTTATCTTCATTTCTAGAATTGGAACTGATATTTTTTGTCACCAATTGATAGTGATCCTGAATAAGGACTTTTTTTAATTGCCTTGTACATATTACAGTTTAGATACCAATACTAATCAAATTGAAAGAGTGTGGCCACTCAGTTATGTTTTTTTGGTATTATAAATATTTCCATCAGACCCTACAGGCATTCTGTAGGGAAAGAGCTGAAGGACAACCATCCAAATTCAAATACCCGGTAAAAACTACTTGAGAAAACATCAAATCACTTTCATAATTTATAATATTTTTTTGTCAGAAATATAATGTACCTCAAATCTATTATGTAAGCATATATAAAAATCACTGCAAATATTAAAAATTGTACACTGACTGAAGGACTTCGGTCGATGGCCCGGTATTCACCAATAAATGACATTTATTATTATTATTTTATTTCCATCATACAGTACAATTTCTATCGTCAACTTATCTTGTTGATTGCTTGGTCATATTTTGTTTTACTTTGTTTGACATTCCATATTATTAAGTCACTTTGTTTATACAATATAACATTAACCAAAATGTTTTCAATTGCAGCTACAACTCTATAAAAAATTGGATTCAACAAGGAGACACGCAGTATCCACTGGGGCCCAGCTTGCACATGCTAGCTGCTGCTGAAGCTGGCATATTAACTCTGGTGGTGACAAACCCTATTTGGGTAGTGAAGACGAGGTTATGTTTGCAGTATGGAAATGAAGACACCTACCTCGCAAAAGGAGGCCAGTTCTACCGAGGCATGTCAGATGCGCTGGTGAAAATTTATCAAAAAGAAGGCGTACGGGGCCTTTACAGGGTCAGTTGAGGATCGCTTCATCACAGAAACGATAAGTAGGTGGGGGGTATTGCATTTCCTTATATGCTGTTTGTAGGGTTTCGTTCCTGGAATGTTTGGTGTTACTCATGGAGCCCTCCAGTTTATGACTTACGAAGAAATGAAGGGTTATTATAATGGCTATAGGAAACTACCACTGGACAACAAGCTGGTGAGTTTTTTCAGTAGAATCTCAGTAATAAATGCATTTGCTAATTGAACGGTATGAAATGTGAAATATTCAAAGTTAATTGAAGAACATTCAGTTCAGGTTCATCAACGAAAATGTATTTCACATTTTCTTGAATATTCCCCTTATTATTTATAAAATGTATACTTTCTAAATTTTTTTGAGGACTAGGTTGAGTTCATAAATCCGTTCCTGTATGGAGAAAATTCAACAGAATTATGTGCACGCACATCAGGACTGTATTAAATAATTTGTCCATGTAGTTAGTAGGAACTTGCAAGTTAGGTTAGGTTAGCCGAGTGAGTGGGTTTATTCGACCCTCCACTGCAACTTGCAAGGTTTTATTGTAGCTCATACTTATTTAAACTCTGCCAAATAAGTACAAATCCAAAAACAAGCACTCTTCCCAATCACTACAACTTCAACACTCTTCTCGATGCATGTTTCACAAATCAAGTTAGCTTCTTCAGAAGATGAAAACTAATTGTAAACTCTGAAACTGTTCTCTATTTATATCTAACATAGCAATGATTTTGGGTAGAAATTTGAGGAAAATTTTCTCGTGAAAGTTCCGCTAATTTTAACAGTGATTCATAAAAAGGTAATCAATGGACTGTTTCGAATCGGACCTTTGTCACTTTTCATAGCTCTTATGCCACACTTTGCTATTTACAGAATTTTAGACATTTTTCAATTATTCTATGGCCATTCTCCAAGGCGTGTGGAGCGACACTAGATTTTTCTGGTCTTCGAAATCGAATATGTGCTACATGTTCTTTAAAACTAGTTTTAATGGCTAGCTTAATCTGGCCAATATATTTGTTGTAATAGTCCTCAAAGCTTATTTCATATATCCCCCACTTTCATTTTCCAACATTTCGTCTTTTAGGGTTACCTAACATTTGTTGAAGTGAGCAAGAAGTTTTGAAGGGTACTTTCACATTAAAATTTTCAAAAATATGATCTAATCCGTTAATTTATCTTGGTTCTTATAGAACAACAATGAAATTTGCTTCTACATCTTTTTGAAAAGTCGAAGCCTTACAAAGATTCTCTCTAAATTTACTTTTCGTAATTAACTTATCTACTAGATTTGAATAATATTCGTTGCTTTCATCTATGTCCCCTTTTAACATTTTTATCAATAATATACCTGTTCCCAATCACCAGAAATGCAATACTTTACTCGATGTGTTGGTTTCACCAACCAATTTGGCATCTTCAGGAGATGAAGAAAACAGTTTTCTGTTCTCACCTTTTACCCTACCTTTCTTTACTCAAAGGGAAAGTAACGAGCCTGTGGACAGGAAAGTTTAGACCTGCCATTTTGTGTTGTGGATAATGGTGTCAGCTATCAGGAATGTATCTAAAAGTACGGGTATTCTTCCTGTAGATATCAATCTCTAAATCCTGATTACTTCTAATCACTAAGACATCCAAGAACGGTAACACCTCGTTGTTCTCAATTTCTGTAAATTTAATATACAGGGATCTGTTGTTTTGAAACAAAAGTCCTCTACCTTTGATTTCTTTGTATCAAAAATCGAAAATATAATATCTACATATTGGATCCAATTCCGTGGAAAGTAGTCTAACCCAACTTTTGCTTCCAATTCAAATCTTCATGAACAGATTAGCTATGAAGGGCGACAGTGATCCAGCTTCTTGACGAAGCGGATTGGACGATATGTGGAGTGATCTCTCAGGTCAGATGGCAAGAGTGAAACTGCAAAACTCCTAAAACCTGATTTGGTTCACAGCGGAACAAGCATCAGGCTGCTGCTGTTTCATTTTCCAAGCAGAGATGACATTTACTGTCATCCTCCAAGCCTCTGCATATAATGATTGAGTTGGACTGTTTTAAATGGGTCCTGTATGTAACCTTTACAGTCCTTGGATAATTTACTTCCTGTCCTTTGGTTGAATTAACTAAATCTGTAACTGAAACATATCGTGTGTCTCAACTGTGAATACCTCTTTTAAGTATCCATTTAAGGAAAATCATGGTTCCAACACAAAAACTCCAACCATTACATGTAACATTTTCCTCGACTAACGTCATCAGGAAATGAATTGTATTAAATCCTCAAATTTATATCCGATGTGGATCTAAATATCGTTTAACATGTTCTGGTTCTGAAATATTCTCACTGACTAATTCTGTTTTCCTTGTTAGCACCGTTTTTATCATAAAAGTACTTGTAAGTAGTAATAAGTCTGTGAAACATTTCAATAAATAATTTTAGCAATCAGATTTTGGGTAATTTAACTTATTACTGATGTAGGGTAAAACTCATAGTTTGGTTGCTAAAAAAGTTGTTTTGATTTTTTATTTTGACAATACCGTTACAGACCACAGGGGAATACATAGGTTTTGCTGCAATAAGTAAATTGATAGCGGCTGCAGCTACTTATCCATACCAAGTGATCAGGGCCCGATTGCAAGACCAACATCACAGCTATGAAGGAACTTGGGATTGCATCATGAAAACATGGAAGTACGAAAGGATGGCTGGATTCTACAAAGGCCTTGCTCCATATTTACTTCACGTTACTCCTAATATATGTCTAGTCATGTTAATTTATGAAAAATTTACCAATAATAACCAATAAATAGGTACAGATTTTACTTAACATATTTAAGGAAATATTCGAGTTTTTTTCAGAAACCAACTGGTTTGACTTCGCATTCAGTTGAATTTCAACCTGAAGGTAAACAGATGCTTCGTAAGTGAAAACAATGTAATGAATTTGGTGTCCTTATAAACATCAATATTATCTCAAGTTTTTCTCTGTTTTGTTAAATCTCTCTCAAGTTCTGTCAAATCTCTCTATTTTTACATTCTTGTTGTCCTCTCAAATGTTGTTAAACACAAGTCACGTGAGACCTGAGTTTGTTACTATTTTTTTTGTTAGTTACACGAGAAAGGTTCAGTTTCATTTAATTCAAATTTTTCAGTAGTAACTAATATTCTCTTGAATGTTCAATTTGACTCTGATACTTAACTAAGGCCTATTATTTTAATTTTTTTGTCACTCTGCTTCTGAATCCACAATAAACCAGTGAACACTCACCAGTTGACTCTCCTAAATTTGTGATAATCTCCACTTGGTTCTCTGGAACTAGAGGAAAGGTAACTTCTCAACCTCATTTCTGAAATAGTAAATATATGATTTCAATTTTGAAATAATACTGTTCATAAAATATTCATTTGTTAATGTTTCTTGATAAGTGGTGGCTTAATTTATAGACAATTTTGAATTCATATATTTATGGGGATCTCTAGTTTCTAGTACTGTTAGTCCTAAAGATAAGATTTGAAACAGATCAATTGCTTGGTACCACATTCAGGCCAATTTGTGTATATTGGAAGGTTCAGTTGTCCCTAGAAATAGAAGAGCCTAGAAGTTGTGAGCAATATATTTTATAATACAACAAACTATAAGACAACAAATTATAAGACAACAAACTCTATTATTTGTTGGGTTCAACATCATCATGTAAATGTTTTATGAAAAAATCGAACGACACTAATTCACTCAATATTAGGACTTGAAAATGTATTGAAATAAAAAATTCGCAACTCGATCTTGCGTTTGTAAGTTCTTGTTGTAGTTATGTTATCACATTACATCATAAAAAATAAAAACTTTTAACATGGAATTTAGTCCAGCTTGACGATAATTCAAACAAAAAGTCTTGTATTGAAGTATATTGACAGTCTAGACTTGGATAAAAAAATGTCTAATATAATAATAATCTCGGCGTGAACGCTGGTTTCCTGAGGTTTGAAAACCTCTTATCAGAATGATAAGTTTTGACTGGGATATATTTCATTGTGTTCTTAGTGTTGAACTTGTAGGATTTTCACCATCATTAGAAGAATTATTTATATTTTGTGTTTGAAAAGATTTTCTGCCGACTAGAAGCCATTGTAATGAATCATATTAAAAGGCTATATGTATAAAGTAGTGAAAACAAGCAGGGAAATTTTTCAACCACTTGTATCAAGTGAGGTGATCTTATATCACCATTCTCAAGATTTATGTTGAAATTGATCTGGTATAATTTTTTTCATTTAGTTTTAAGTTTTCATCTGTTTACTTGTCTGGTTGACTTTAGGTAATCTTCATATAATCAGTGTTTTCTGCAGATATTTGAAATGTTTTCAACCAATTTCTAGTACAAACTGAAAAATGAATACATTTTTGAAGGAAAAAATTATTTTGTTCTTTTGCGACTTTTGCTATTGAATAACTTCTGATACAACTGTATTATTTCAGTATCTGCAAATAACAGATAACTTACAAATGAAGAGTAGGTCATTATAAACATGAGCATTGCATTATTACCTCACTTTTTTTCATACTTTTGCTAGTAGATTATTCAATTCTAAGGTATATCATTCTTAGCTAATTTATGCTACATCTTGGAACATCAAAAAATGAAGTACCACATACTAATTATTTAAACTCCTTGATAAGTGATCCCAGAAAGCGTTTTTTCTTTAAACCTCACATACAATTGAGTTGTTGAATTCATTTAAAAAATATTTTGTACTTGCCTAGAATATCATTATATTTTCACTAAGGTTCTAGATCCAACTTTTCTGTACACAAATACTGAAATACATTTGAATTAACGTATAAAAGTTAAGATACTCGTATTTGAAATGTTAAGACATGACAACAAGGAATGTAAACTTTCATGGCTGGAGATAACTGTGTCAAAGCTATTTTCAGGTTTTTTTTGGCAGTGGTTTGCAGGTTTTTATGCCTGACGTTTCATCTACTACTGCGGTAGACATCAAAGGTGATGAGGTAACTGTCGCAGTGCCTGATTTGGTATTCCTGTTGTTTCGAACGCATTCACTACGATGCTGGTATTTGACTCTGGTTTTATATTATTATTAGTGAGCGTGACTTGGTTTCTCTTAATTGGATTACCTGACCTTCTTTGTGTACCTTTAAGGAAAGGTAGCCAGGTTTTATTAATGTTCATTGCCTCTTCTTTTGTATTGAAGTTGTCCGTGTCTTTTAGAATTTCTATCGCCTCTCTATATACACTTGGATAGTACACTTTGAGTTTTATCTAGTATCACTGTATAGGGAATTGGAAAACAGGGATTATTTCGATGGAAACAGCTCGAGCACTTCGATCGCTACCTCATCGGCTTTGATGATGTGTACTGCAGTAGTAGACGAAAAGTCGGGCATAAAAATCTGCATACCACCGCCAAAAAACCCGAAAAATAGATTTTGACACAATATCATAGCTAATAAATGTTGATTATTAGAAGATCTCTATGAAAGTGAAAATGAAATTTGTTGGTGAATGATCTAGGAGCAGAAACTAAGAAAATATTATTTTCATGTGTGATATCGTCTACAATCCATCAATAAATCAAACAGCACGCTTGGTACTAACATGTCTGCTGCCACCTGTATTTTCAAGTGTTATAAGAAACGTTAGTAATGAAGCTGTAACTTTTATTTCCAATGAATGAGTCCAAAATTCTATAATCTATGCAAATTGATATTTAAAATTATTGTGATATTCTATACTAGTTTGTTCCACAATATATTGAAGTGAAGCAAAATATTTTTGTAAGTGTTTTCAAGAACAAACTGAGCACACTTTTACCAGTGTACCATCATTTAGTCTATCGAGAAAACCAAAACTGTATCTTTAAAGACAAAATTTTAAATAAGTTTTTGTGCTTCTCTGAAAAAGTGAATAATTGTTCTTATTTGTACAACTTGTTCCCAGTGAATGTGATATTTTTTTATTTCAATTTTTGTCTGTGTACAATTTTCCATTTATTGTTTCCTTCTTCCTCTTGCTTGACAATCCTCTATTCATTTATTAACATGCACAAACATTTAAAATCAATAATCGTTTTTTATTCGGAATCATGCTCAGTATCTTCATGACATTGTTTTTTTTTGTACTGTTATTGTGAAGAAATATCAGTATCATTATTTTTTTATTGACAAATTGAAAGATTTATGATGCATGATGGAAAACAGAACAATACGTTTCAATGACAACTATTTCGGGTTTAACTTTTCACACAATTGATTCAAATGAAAATGGAATATTTTTTTACCCTGTTCCCATTTCCTTTTCTTCTGAAATATGCTGCTTACATCCTCTCCATGCTTTTTTCTATGTATACTATTAGTCCCAATTATATTAATATATCTTTGAAATAGAGGAATCCATGAATGAATGGAAAGAACGTCATCGATGTGCCTTATTGAATTGTGAAAGTTGCATTCATACGAAAATTACAATTGATGACATGTTTCGTAAAAGTTATGAATGTAATAAGTTTGTAATGTTTGGAGGAACAACGGTTTGTTATGAGAGAATAAATTTACATCATGATATTGTGGTTCACTAACGAGAGAGAACTTAATATTTAGTGAATTTTGAAACTAGAAAATTTTGTTTTTCATTTTTGAATTTAAGGTTTTGCTTAGTGATTCAATAAAGTATTTTAGATGTTCGATGATGATGGACAAGTTGAACTTCATAGATTCTCAAGAGATTCAGTGTTTCTAAGATATCTTAATCCTACTAATTTCGTATTGTCTCTTTTCTTATACTTTCCAAGTTTGAGAGTATTGGAAATGTACTATACCATTTCTTCCTTGTTACCATCCTTATATATATATTAACAAAGTTTGTAGCAATATGTAATATCTCTCAATAACAAAAAGGAATGTATATAAGCAATTTATTTATTATTTTTTGTATCAGAATGTTTTGTTGGTGATTGATTTTACATATCAAATTTTAACCTAGGTACAATATGAAAAGTGAGAAAAAATTTTTAGGAGTAATGTGACGAGAAACTATATCTGTAGTTGATTATTATTTTTCTATTGAATGCAGTGGGTGATTTATAGTATTATCTTGAACTGGAATAAGACCTGAATTAAATGATGTGATATAAACTGCCTTTCATTTTTCTATTCCACAACTGACAAATATTTTCTTGGTCATTTTGTCATTTATTAATAATTACTGGAAAGGCAGAAGCACTTCGAAGGCTCTAATGCATCATGTGTCCTATATATATTTCATCAACTACTCTCGAAAGC